AAAAAAAAAAAAAATTATTCGAGCTTGTTTATATAATTATTTATAAAAAATTCAAGTTGTATCGTGTTAGAATAATTTAGCAAAAACCCTTACCGAAATTATTTAATTTGGTTAAGTTGAGATAAGCTCGTGTGCTTGAAAATACTTTTCTAATTAGAGAATTCATACTTTAGATTTTTTTTTTTTTTTATAATAATATGATATTATAAATATAATAATAGGAAAACGGTATTATATCAATATTCGTGAACATCATCAAAGGTTCATGAACTAGCTAATCTTATTTTGTTTAACAAAAATATTAGTTAAATTTTTTATTCGGCCTCAGCTCAATTAATAAACGAACACAATTTTTGTCGAACACATAAGAGCTTTTATTCTCGAACTTTCGATTCTTTTATTGCTCTAAACTTGTCTATAATTATATTGCTCTAACCTTATCTACAACCACAAATGAAATTCAAAACCTTGAGATGGAAATGTTCCTTATTCCTAATGGCCATCTTGAGTAAATAGGAAGTTATCCAAACTATTCTTTAAGAGATCTAAACTCTTTTCCATTGATTCAAATTACAAAAAATTGTAAAGCTCATTCCTTTTATTTTTCCTTTCCTTAAAATTTTTAAGAAGGAAATAAAATATGCTACCTTTCTTCTTATGCAAGGTTGTCCTTGCATCACAGGCAAGAAAAAGAGAACATTTGCACCAACACCAAGAAGATATATATATATAATAATAATTATCTTACAAGTCATTGTATTGTGGCCACAAGGGTCCCTCTATAGAAGATGCTAAAGGTGGGGATCACATTGAAATTTGCTTCTTTTGATGTTTTTGTTATTTGTTTATTGAATTATTTTTAATAGCTTTTATCGAGTAGATCATGATTAATATTACATCTGATCTGAGATTGATAGGAAATGCTCATATATGTATAAAGTTCTTCGTAATTTTTTAATTATGCACTCAATGTGTTGGTCTGTTGTCACATAATAAGCTGTAATAGTCGTCCCATATAATGGGAACACACATAACAAATATTAATTTCTTTTAATATTTTTTTGTAACAAAATAATAGAATTTTTATACTTATATGTAATAAAGATATATCAATGCTCAATCAATGATATTATATATTATCTCAACAATGCCTCAAATAACACCTCCAAATCTTACTGAATAATTCAGCAATCTAAATAGATTACTCACAAAATTTATTTCCTCTATAGTTATATTGCATTATTTCATTAT